TTGGGAGAATTCGAGACAGTTATGCAAACCCTCGACTTCGTCTCGGGTTTGCATAACCGTCGAGAATTCTCCCAACGCCTCGAGTGTGTGTATATGCAAACACAGGAAAAAAGTTTTCTATTGCTTTTATAAAATAACTTTCCCTAGAAAAAAACGCAAAACTCTTTGTATGGCACTGATTAAGAGAAATTCTTACCAGTCGCAAAATCTTGTCCACGAAGTCTTGCACGCGTAATGAGCTCTTGTTTTGCAAAAAAGATGCTTTGCAAAATACAGAGTTTTCTCGCTTAAAGTGTCAGCTTAAGCGAAGAAAAATTGACTCACCTTCTTTGTAATGATTTTCCATGTTTCAGCCGACGAAGGAATGGGTAAATAAAGTAAACTTGTCGAGTTTTGAACTCGAAAACTTTTCCAAATTTGGTGCTTGCGTGATTAGCGCGCGAAAAGCCAAACAACTTGACGCCACAACTATGTTTACATACTCTCATGCAAACACTGCTCTCGGCCAATCAGAGCGCGCGTTTTTAATTAACAACTGGCTTTCTCTTCGTCTGGTTTCCTCTGACCTCTCTTACAAACATTGCAGTAATTTCACTGGATCAGATGCACGCAACAATTCGTCCCTATACAGCCCCTATGCATCGCCTCATTAAAGAGTGAGTCTACGGGGTAACAATTGCTGCTCTTGTCTGGGTTTTACCTGAAATGTTTATTATACTAATCCTTAAGAATCGAATGTTTAACCAAAGTCCTATATTTATTTTAGCACATCTAGTGGACCTTCAGTCTTTTCATGTTTTCAAGCCAGGGGCACCGAACGACTGGTTTCTGTGAAATGGCTGTTCGAAGAAGCACATATTATCTAGAGATTTCTATAGCTCGAAAAAAGTTAAAAATTCGTAAATAAATGTATCATTCACCTCAGTTTTTCAAAGTTTTCAGTCTATTAACTTCTCTGATTGAAGTTGGGAATGGGATTTTCACTTTTCACTTGTCTTCCCATATTTGGTCATCATTCGCAAAAATGGACTACTTATAATAAATTTTGGGCTTTAAAATCAGTAACGGAAAGATGTACATCGGAAAATGTTGAGTTTTTTGTATATTTAATAACATCAAAGATTTGAGAAAAAGTAAAGCGCTAATAAATTCGCATCGGCTGAAGAAGCCCAAGGATGACCAAACAGGTACAAATTTGATAGAGTTTCCTAGAACGCATTTGCAGAGCTGCTTTTTAAAACAACAATCTTAAAGATATCCTTAATTGGTTTGAGTAAATTTTGGAGAGAGGCGGCGTCGGATATGGTGGGCGGGTTGTAGAGCGATGTTTCTCTCCTCCTGACTATAATATATACTTACCTAAAAATAATTGCAATGGAAAATGTTAAAATACAAGGATTGTCCGAGCTAAGCCGCGACTTAAGGCCCTCTTCAGTCATATTTTCATGAAAAATTTCAGCTCCTTTAACCGAGTGAAATTGTTCACGAAGAGTATTCATGAAACATTTAAATTTTTTCCTGTCTCACTATGGACATTTGATTGTCTTAGAAGGGTTAACTGAAATGATAGTCACATTTTCATTCTGGTGATCAATTACTCCATATACCATTAGCAAACAGACTTTCAATATTTTTAAAGAGCGAAATAAAAATGTTGAAAAAGTATTAATGTAACAGATTCAAACAATTTTAGCCACAGTTAGATTGTTAGTTAACTAGTTAGTTAGTAGTACCCTTTGCATTTTACCACGAACATTTTTTGCTCCTGATGTAATAACGTGTTTAGCTGTACTAGTATCTAGCCGGATTTTTGAAAACGTTATCGTCAAATGGACCTTTTCCGTCCAACATTTTTTTCGGCCAAAAACTATATCCAAATTAGCTCATTATAAAAACCATGAGTGCAACCATTGCTTTTTTTTCTTCTCCTCCTTTCCTGATCTTTCGTCGCTCTTTCTTTTTCTCCTTACCTTTTCCTTCGTTACTGTGATTTTGGAGCCGTTCTCGGGCTTAAGAAAGCTGCCTTTTGACGCCTTTTCAGTCAAATGACTGCAAATTTCGTTAGGTTGGTTTTCCAAAAATGGGTTCCATATATACTATAATATACTATATACTAGGGTATCTAAAAGATAGTAATGCTGCGGCACATTCTGTTGATACTGGCATTAGTTAGGCAGTGAGACTTAAAAGAATCGAAAATGACATTGAATGTCCTATTTACATGTTGGAAAGTACTAGAATAATTACTATCAGTCTATAGAAAGAACTCGTGGGAACATTGTTTAGAAAATGATCAAGTGGTTATCAACTCTGGTTTTCCGACAATAAATTGTAGGAAATAATAGAAATTCAGATTGTTATCCATATCAGTTTAATATGCGGTACACGATATTTTCTCTGGAAACACAATACTTTTCTTGATGTTTGTTGCACTTTATTAAGTAACAGTTATTTAGCTATATATTTATAGAAAACAACAACACAAAAAACGAAAAAAAACGAAAGAATGAATAAGTAATTCGGAAGGACTCGAACCCTGCACCTTCGGCTCCACGCGACTACACCTAACCACTACACTACAGAGGCTGACTCCGTAATCGTTAGGAAAAGTCTTTCATGTTATTCCTTTTCCATGAAACTTCCGCCGGCAAGATGATCGCCAGCCGCATTAACCGAGCTATTAACAGTGAAAAACAATGTAAAGGCATTTTCCATGGCAATGAATGAATGAAAGAACATAATTATGCTTTTCAAAACGCCGATACAAGTCCTCGTCTGCCAAGTAGGACACAAAACATATGTTTTGTTATTTCAATTTCCGCCGTTATTTTGAAGCGAATGGTCAAAATCATATCCATTTTCGGCTCATACAGTTTCTTAAGAATAGCATTGCAAGACATTTTCTCACTTTCACATCACCTTTTAGCAAGCTGGAATTTGTGTATCCCCCGTGTTGCGGAGTCGAAGAGCAAATGCTCATCATCTCGTCAGGTTTAACACCTGGACGAGTCAAAGGCTCTTGAATAATTGAAATTAACCATCGTACTCATCTGAAAGACTCCTGCGTGTCTTAAAATTTGGTAAGACCTCTAACCGTACTGTAGAAAATTTGCCACAAAGAAAACTCTAAGTCTGAGCAGCGAACGATGCACTCTCTTACCCATCGAACTTCCCCGTGTTTTTATTTGACTTGTTCGTGGCGCTATGCACTCTGGTTAAATGCAATGCATTGTGGTAAAAAGTGATGAATTCGAGAATTCGTCGCCCCTCATATATTTCCTTTAAATCCTGATTATGTTGCTGCTCCCTCCCTTCGGTCGCTCCGCAGCAATAATTACTATCAGTCTATAGAAAGAACTCATGGGAACGTTGTTTGGAAAATGATCAAGTGGTTATCAACTCTGGTTTTCCCACAGTAAATTGCAGGAAATGATAGAAATTCAGATTGTTTATCCGTATCTTTAATATACAGTCTACTATCTTTTCTCTAGAAACACGATACTTTTCTTGCTGTTTATTGCACTTTATTTAGTAACAGTTATTTAGCTATATATTTATAGAAAACAACAACACAAAAAACGGAAAAAAAAAGAAAGAAGGAAAAAAGGAGGTCGGTAGGACTCGAACTCGGCACCATCGGTTCGACGCGAATACACCTAACCACTGCACACCAGAGACTGATTACGTAACCTTGGGAAAAGTCTTTAACTTAATGCCTTTTCCATGAAACTTCCCCCGGCAAGATGATCGCCAGCCGCATTAATCGAGCTTTTAACAGTAAAAACACAATGTAAACGCATATTCCATGGCAATGAATGAATGAAAGAACATAATTATGCTTTTCAAAACGCCGATACATGTCCTCGTCTGCAACGTAGGACACAAAACATATGTTTTGTTATCTCGATTTCCGCTGTTATTTTGAAGCGAATGGTCAAAATCACATCCATTTTCGGCTCATACAGGTTCTTAAGAATAGCATGGCATGCCATTTTCCCATTTTCACATCACCTTCTAGCAAGCTGGAATTTGTATCTCCCCCGTGTTGCGGAGTCGAAGAGCAAATGCTCATCTTCTCGTCAGGTTTAACACCTGGACGAGTCAAAGGCTCTTGAATTGAAATCCAATCCCCAAGTTAATCATCGTACTCATCTGAAAGACTGTGTGTCTTAAATTTGGTAAGACCTCTAACCGTGCTGTAGAAAATTTGCTACAAAGAAAACTCCGAGTCTAGCCAGCGAACGATGCGAACTTCCCCGTGTTTTTATTTGAGTTGTTCGTGGCGCAATGCACTCTGGTCAAATGCAATGCATTGTGGTAAAAAGTGTGGTTAAATGCAATGCATTGTGGTAAAAAGTGATGAATTCGAGAATTCGTCGCCCCTTATATATTTCTTTAAATCCTGATTATGTTGCTGCTCCCTCCCTTCGGCCGCTCCGCAGCAACTATAGTGAACAATTTTTATTATACTCAGGTGAACGAGCGCTGACATTAATTAGTTTTAAAAACATTCAGCTGAAACGAAATTTAATGCCCTCAGCTTTTAATCAACCAGTTTATCCTAATCTCCCCTCAAACGTCACTGATATTTTTTCCACAGGGGAAAACAAGGGTTTTTACTTCAGCTTTTGTGAAGGCAATTTGAAAAACTGTAAGTTAAAGATGAGCTTTCTAATTCGTCGAATTATTATTCATGTATCTTCATTACTGATCTTTGAAAAACAGACGTCAACCTTGTTTGTTCACCTCCTACTTTTCTTTTCTAAGTAATCAAACTTTATTCAATTCAAATTCTTTCTAAAGGTAGACGAACAACAGAAGGGAACGGGTAAAGGTGTGAAGCGAAAAGGAGTAAAAGAAAACAAGTCATGTTATTTTCTTCATCCGAGTGCATCACCTGGTTTGCTGTAACCCTTACCGTGTGTGTTGCTATAGTAACAGTGAACCTTCTATCAATCATTCTATTCATAAAAAACCGCAGTCTTCGACGGACTCGTGCCATGTACCTAGTTATAAACCTGACAGTAGCTGATATGTTTGTCGGAGGATTTTCTCAAATTTTTCTTTTTCAATATCTACAGCTCCTTTTCAAATGCGACATTGTGAAAATGAAATTAAGCCAGGAACTGAAAGTGATAAATCACTTTCTCTTCGTCTGGTTTCCTCTGACCTCTCTAACAAACATTGCAGTCACTTCATTAGATCGGATGCATGCAACAATTCGTCCCTTCAGGCATCGCCTCATCAAAAAGTGGGTCTACAGGGTAACAATTGCTGGTGTCTGGGTTTTAGCTGCAATGTTGGCTGCCGCCAGGTTAACATTTTTACTACGACATGAAAAATGGTATAAATATGGTTTTTACGTATGGACATCATACTGTTGTTTGTGTCTATTTGTTATCTGGGTTTCTTACTCTTCCATTGTTGTTAAATTTTTGTGTGGAGCCCATCCCCGGCACCATGGTGCAGCCAACAGACAAAGGAAACTGACCGTAACATTATTAATAATGAATATCGTATCCTTACTGATGTGGCTACCATTGTCGATTTATTTATTTCTTTTTTTTCAATCTAGTATCAAGAAATTCCTTCCTTTCCAGGAATCAACACGTTTGGAGTTTTCTTTAATCATTCTATATTTGATGAACTCGCTTGTTAATCCCATCATTTACACAATCAGAATTCCAGAGTTTAGGAAAGCTCTCCTGGTGTTATTTAAACGTCAACGAAGACAAAATGCCCAAGTTATTCCTCTTCATGCGCTTTAATGTACTTTGTCTAACACTTGGAAGCCAACTTGTGATTTCGTCATCTTCATTAAAAAAAAAAAGTTGATTGTATACTGTTATCGCGGCCTTTAAAGTTTGATAAAAAGGCCGTAAATAAGTGTTGTGGTACAATTTTTTCCTTTGTTTTAAACTCTGATTTTCAATCGTACATAAATAACCATACCGCAACACAAAGGAAAACAAAATCTAAACCATTGATGAGTTGAACCGCAGTATTTCGTCAAATACTGCAACTAAATATAGAGCCGGTTAGTAGTCTCGTTTATTTTTTTGTTACGTGTAGCATGCTTCCAAAATGAAAAGATATCATTTACATGTCCTTGTTTAGAGTACGTTAGCCATCATGATTGTGGTCGCAAAACATGAAATATATCCATTATGTACATTAAGCGCAGAAGTTGTTTAGTTCTTAATTTGTTATTTCACAACGCGATATCTACTTTAATAATGCGACTTGTTTTGAAGGTAAAATACCTCTTTTAGTAAAATCAGCATTTTAAGACACTTCAATAAAGTTGCTATTTATATAAACAGGATTTCTTTACGTTCTTAATATATATCTGTGTCTGGAATATCACAAGGAATGGGCCGGAAAAACGCTGAAATGGGAAAGGCACACTTCAGTGTCCTAAAGATGGGAAAAGTCAGAAGATTGTTAAAAGTGTCTTTTTTTTCACGCCAATTTTAGGAGAGGATTATAAGAATGTTGTTTTTCCTCGTTGTGTGGTTAAGGAAATTTGTGTACAGCTTGCCAGATACATTCAAGACTCTTTCTGCCACTATTCAATGTTGAACATTTCCAGGTCTTTTTTTGAGAGATAATATATAGCCAAATCTGGGAAGGGAAGTCAATTGACAAAACTTTGAAAATCATAGATGAATGAAGAGTCATCAAAACTATTTAGCCTTTCTCGAGAAACAGAAATTTGTAAACAAGAGTTTTGCTTCTTCAAACATATATTTTACTTCAGAAAACGTTCCCCTGACAAATGAGGACAGAGACATATCAAATAGTCTGGATTGAATATTGTCATCACTGGAAACTAAATCCAGTAAATCCATCTTGTCAGTTCGTGTCCTTAAAACTGCGCCATGAATTCTTGGTGAAAGGTTCTTAGTCGCTCAAACATTGGAGCGAACGTCTCTTCATAAGGAAGAATAGTGATCCTACCAAGAAAGATTCAGTAAAACATGAAACCGTTTAATTTCCTTCGTATGGATAGTGGCTTTGAAAAATCAAAACGTTTTGGATTATTTTAACCCATAATGTGGAGATGAAACTTGGTCCAATTCAATCAGACTTTCACACGCTGACAGAACGTGGCTTTTACGGACAAGTCGCTTTTAGGACGCCTTTTCCCAAGTAAGTTTATGCTCTGGTCTGTACCGTATAATCTCGGTTGTGAGCCCTTCTATTTGTAAACAACAACATTATTCCAGTTGTAGGCCCTCCACTAAGCCCACACCACCCCGGCTATAGGCTGATCTGTGTATACCCTTATTGCGTTTGTCAGAACGCATCCTAATTTGGTATTCCTGTGGTACAAAGGCAGAATTTTTCGTGGTTGGGGGGAAAGAGTAGCCTCCCACGCAGGCGTTTTTAGGGGAGCTCGTATTTCTTCCCTCCCCACAAACGCCTGCTCAACGGAGGACAACGTTCCTTTCCCATTGTTATATTCGCCTGGCAAGTGACCAATCAACAGTTTTGAAGCAATGTGTTGACCGGCTAAACAGGACTTATAAGCTCGTGATACTGTAAAAACGTGACCCAGAACGTGATCCTAGAGTTACCTTTTTCCTTCTATTCTTTCCTTCGCTAAGGTTATGCAGTGCACGCAGAATTCTAAAATCTGACTGAGTAAATCTTACTTTTGCCGCTCTGAGTCTAATATAATATTTATTAGAGGTCATGAAGGTTTCTCAAAGTCTCATGCAGATCGCGTAATTATCGAGTTACCTTGCGGTCAAGGTCATTTTTTCAGAATTTGGAAAGTACAACGTGATAGCTAAGCGTGGGAAAGGAATGCTGTCCTCGGATGAGCAGGCGTTTGTGGGGAGGGAAGAAATACGAGCTCCCCTAAAAACGCCTGCGTGGGAGGCTAGGGAAAGAGGGGTCTTGTCAAATTTAAAGGTGCAGTCAATCTAATCCAGTCCGGGCCACAACCAGATCTGGATATGTAATTTCCTGCAATCTGATTGGCTCAGAGCTCAACCAAAACATTGAATTGTCCGCGAAAGGACTCTCGACAGAAATGTCGAACAGGGAAACTTCGAAGCAAATAGCTGTCGAGTGCTTTGGGTGGAATGTACCTTGAAGAAAAGTAACAGCAATACGGAGCCGATTAATCGAGACTATTTTATGTGTCATAGCGTTCGATTTACGAATACCGAGATGTTAATGATCGAGAACGCTTTCTGTAAACACCTGTGAATTTCTGATAATATTTCAAGAGACCAGAAACAACTCGACGACTCCGATCGAATTTGAAGAATAGGGAATTTGAATACCGCAATACATTGTAAGTGGAAAGGTTTTAAGAAGTCCTGTTTGGAGTAATTTCTGCGAGCACAGCTTCGTCCTGGAGAAGTCTGTTCTATTCTACTTCGGGGGCAATACCATACGCGCTAAAATCTAATTTCGATCGAAGGACTGATAATGATAATCTTAGTGCTAATTATTCTTGCTGTATATAAATTTCCAAATTTTCTAATAGCTGTTAAATAGTCACTGAGAGGGCGTAAACATAATTTGACAATTGTATTTTGAAAAACAACTTTGGGTCATTCTGCATATTTTACATTCCACATAATTATGTCATTCCGCAAGCCATGCCACATGCCATCCGCAAACTCATTCCACCTTTTCCCCTCACCGATTACTGATCTTTTGAGGAACTAACTTCAACCATCTATGTTTACCCCCTTGCTATTCTTTTCTTACTGACCAAATTTAATTCAATTTACCTCTAAAGGTAGACGAGCAATAACAAGGAAACGGAAACTAAAAGTTTGAAGCGAAAAGAAAACAAGTCATGACATTTTCTTCCTCCGAGTGCATCACCTGGCTGGCTTTATTCATTACCATCTCTATTACTATAGTAACAGTGAACCTTCTATCAATTGTTCGAATTCTTTTTATAAAAAATCGCAGTCTTCGAACTCGTGCCATGTACCTAGTTATAAACCTGACCATAGCTGATATGTTTGTCGGAGGATTTTCTAGCCTTTATCTCCTGTTACTCCTCGAATGTGACATTTGGGAAATTCACTTAACCCTGGGATTGACAGTAATAATTGAATTTCTCTGCATCTGGTTTCCTCTGACCTCTCTAACGAACATTACAGCCATTTCATTAGAACGAATGCATGCAACAATTCGTCCCTTCAGGCATCGCCTCATCAAAAAGTGGGTCTACGGGGTAACAATTGCTGGTGTCTGGGTTTCAGCTGCAATGGTATCAACTGCCATTTTTAATTAACACTTGAAGTATACGTATATGGGAAAGAATTTCTTTACTTATTGCAATCATACTATTTTTTGTGTCTATTGGTTATCTGTGTTTCTTACTCTTCTATTGTCGTTAAATTTTTGTGTGGAGCGTATCCTCAGCACCATGGTGCAGTCAGAAGACAAGGGAAACTGACCGTAACACTACTCATAATGAATATCGTATCCTTACTGATGTGGCTACCACATGCGGTTTTTATTTTTCTTCCATCTAGTAAATTCCTTTCTTTCCAGGAATCCTCACGTTTGAATTATTCTTTAAATAGTCTAGTTTTTATGAACTCGCTTGTTAATCCCATCGTTTACACAATCAGAATTCCAGAGTTCAGGAAAGCGCTCCTGGTGTTATTTAAACGTCAACAGAGACAAAATGCCGATGTCATTCATCTTCATGTCCGTTAATGTACCTTGTTTAACAATAGTTAATGTCATTTCACCATGACTGCAATTTAAGAATTACATAATGAGTTCGCCCTTTTAAAAAGATAGAAGCTAAATGGGTACTTTCATTGCTAATTTTAGTTCGATAAAAAGACTGTAGATGTATATTGTGGTTCAGCTATTTCTTGGTTTAAATGTTATTTTTCTTTATTTCAAACCCTTTATCACAAATTATACATTACCATACCCCAAAACAACGAGAAATAAAATCGGAACCAATGATGAAATTGAATCACAACATGTACTAACACGATGTTACATCAGATACCACAACTAAACTAGTCTATTTTCGTTTATCTTAAGTTTCTTCACGTTTAGTATGCTTCCAAAATTAAAAAAAAAAACTTTCACATTTCTTCTTTTAGGATTAGTCATTTGGGAGTTTTAGCATCGACGACAGCGACGGAAGCGAAAACGTCACTTATAAAGAAATTAGAGCGTTTTTTTCAAACTTTGCTGCGTTTATTCCAATTCGCTGAGAATGCAGTCTAATGTAAGCAAATTTCCCTGGAGTTGATTGCTTGGGGACCGAACTCAAGTTTAGAAAGAGAAAGAAAATTTCGTCGTCGCTTTTTTTAATAGTTTTACGTCCTCCATAAAAGACCATAAAACGTGAAAGTAGGTATTTTCACGTCGTAGTCGTGCAGTAATGGCAAAGAAGTGTACAAAAAAGCATGATGAACGTGGAAGCTTGTTGTTTTGCTCAATAAACCTATTGTCTTTTTTTTTTACGTTCTCGTTGCCGTCGCCGTCCTTGTTGCATGCTAAAACTCCCTATTACATGTATTGTACAAAGCTTTAATGTAGGTAAGATTTGTTTAACTTTTATAAATTAGTACTACGAAGGTGGTCATTAAAAAAATGTACCAGAATGTATTTTCATGAAGAGTACAAGTTGTTTTTTAACTGTTTAAACATTGTTTCTATACGCTCTATGATCCGTAGCTGGCAGATCACTAGCCTGTGTACAGACGTCCACCTCCCAACAGAAAAATTTGCACTGAATTCGACTGAATTAAAATCTGTGGAATAAAATGGACGTTGTCGAAAACAAAAAATGAAAAGAAAAGCCGGTTTAGTCAACTTTAAAAATGTATTCAGCATATACTTGTATTTATAATCTAAGAGGTGAGTTCGGCACAGCAATAGCACGACGTTCAGATATGCACTCTTAGCAACATTTTCATTCCTTGTCACTGGCTTGAGCAAGCGATCGGATCTCGGTCTGACCCAGACCCGTTCCCAGACCCCTAATATTTCTTGGTTCCATGGCTGCCAAAAACATGCAGCGATAAAGTAAATAATCTTTATTTAAATATTTAAAGTAAATAATCTTTATTTAAATATTTAAAGTGAGTAATCTTTATTTAAATATTTAAAGTAAGTAATCTTTATTTAAATATCATTTAATCTAATTCGGACGTAAAAGCCCCCTATTCTATGCACGGCGTCTGAAACGAGCCAAGAGCTTTAAGAGATGCACCCCTAAACAGTGTTAAAAAATTTGTACGTGTTTGTTCATCCTTGGAAAACTCATTACTAGGGCTTTCTCATTATTTTCGTTGCTGTTTTAAAGGTTTAACAATTACGAGATATTTTCTTAGACGTCCCAGTTTCGTCACTATTTTCGAAAAATTTGAGGAATCAGAGCCAAAAATGGCAATTGAATTGTGAAATACCAAACCCTCTTGTTTCTCAAGGAAATCAAAAGAACAACTTTGAATCATAGTGGAACAGTCATGAAAACATTTTAGCCTTTCTTAAGCTATTTCTGCCTCAGTTCGAATAGATGTTTTACAGAAAGTTTTCGTTGGGTGCCCGTGATAAATGAGGATAGAGACATTGAACAGTCTTGAATGAATATTGGAGTTCCTTTGCATTAAATCCATCTTGTCAGTTCGTGTCCCTTAAACTGCGCCATGAATTCTTGGTGAAAATTTCCTAGTCGCTCAAACATTGGAGTGAGCGTCTCTTCAGAGGGAAGAATAGTTCAAGGTCCTGCCAAAGAAATATTAATGCATGAAACCGTTTTCAATTATTTCCTTCGTGTGGATAGCGGGCCTGACAATGATAACGTTCCGAATTATTTAAAAATTGGAGATAAAACTCGGTCGTGTTTTATTAGACTTAAACACACTGACAGGAACGCCACTTTTACACCATGGTCTCTTTTAAGACCCGTTACAAATCTCTTTTGACATTAAAATTTCAGTTCAAGTTCATACCGTAAAATCCATAAGCCTATATCTAATTGTAAACATCAAATTTATTCCAGTTGCAAGCCGTTCCCCACACTAGTTCAAACTCCCATCACCCCAATTATAGGCCAGTCTGTATGCACCCTCACTTTATATAGGGGTGGTTCCGCGAGCGGTACTAGACTTTGTGCATGCAGCAATACCACCCCAGATGGAGGAAATACTTGCAATGTATGAAACACCCATAAACATTGCATTTGCAGCAACTCAAAACTCGTCGATGCATTTGCTTCTTGAATACCTTATAAAGCCCACATATATATATAACAATTATTCACCGAAGTGGAGGTGACTAGTAGTGACTACTAGCCACCGACACTGAGGTGAATAGTTGCTTTAGTATATACTAAAACAGTGAGATAATTGAGCACAAAAATGATGATTTTTAACTCATTTACTGTTGCCAACGATTTTTCTTGGCGACAAATAAAACTTTTGAAGGCGTTTGTTTAGATCTTGCGGGGAAGTTTCTTCAAAAGGAGTTGTGAATTCTTTTTGTATTTAAACTCATTCTGTAAAAAAAAGATTATTAAATTTAGTTTTAAGCTTATTTTATGAACAAGTCAACTAAATAAAGTAACGCAAGACTTAAGCTTAATTTGCATTTGTAAACAAAAATCTTTTTCACCGGTTTTATCGATAAATTCAAGTAAAAAAGACTAAACTTTCCCTATTAAAACTTCCAAACCGAACTTCGTCACCTTCTTCATGTATTTTGGCAATAGCTTGATTGATTAGTTGGGAAGTTTCTTAGTTTGTTTCGGCAGCAAACTGGGAAGGCATTTTGCTCGCAGGAACTGGAGGTGAATCAGTGAATAGTGCAGGATATTCACTGATTGAGTAGCCAATCAGAGCGCGCGAAAAACATTATCCTCTGTTTTAGTATATACTAAAAATGGTTAGACTGTAAACTAGAGAAGAACTGAACAGGTGAGTGTTTTGAGCAGCTCAATACTCGGGTAATCTATACCCAATCGGTATAGTGCGTAGATTACGTATTAATAGTACTAGTCGACACTGTTAAGGTTGCTTTGTTAATTTCAAAATTAGCCCCAAAGTACAATCGATAGTTGGTAGTGTTTGTCTATGAGAAGGGCAATTTGTAGCATGTTTTGGCCATTTTAACATTCCTCATGATGGTCACTCATGATAATTAGACGGGTATTATGATGTCATTTATGGCGCATAAATTATATAGGTGTTTTTGTAGCTTTAAAAAGTGCAAAATTAAATTTGGTAATAACCGGTCAGATCTTATTCAGCAGGCCACAGTGATTTAGAAAACCTACGTTATCAACCTTTACCGAGAAATGCGCCTGGGATTTCGTATTTCGGAAAGTTCTTCTTGTCTGTTTTGCAAATCGATAGTTTCACCGTCCATTCATGAAGATTTACATGCTTCTTCTAAACTGCTCGGGTTATGAATTCGGTCCATATATGGAGGAAAAGAAACGATTCATTTGTTAAAGACGACATTTCGCCACTAGACATCGTGACTAATTCTCGTTGCGTGCACGCGTGGTAGACATACCTTATTTTTCATTTTTCAGGACAGTTTTTCAAAATATGGACAAACGTAGATCCGTTTAAAGTTTTCGTGCTAAAGATCAATTTCACTACAATATCGTTCAAAAGCAATACTAAGTTCTCAGTGATTCTAATAGTGCGCAATTAAACATCAGGGGCACCCAACGACGGTTTCCTGCTAAATACATTGAAAACACTTTTTAGACTATCCAGAGCACTTTTAGATATCTAGAAAAGCATTAAAAAGCTATATAACTTGTATCTGTTCGGTCATCCAAGGGAAACTTGAGTCTTTTCGAAATTATTTACAAGGGCTTCAGTATTATTTTCCCAAAAATTTTAGGTGCAATTTAACGTATTACGAAAGTAAGAATTTTCCTGATTCATCTCTCCATCACTTTTTTGCATCCGAAAATTTTAGGTTTCCTTTTGTTCTACCAAAACAATAACGCGCTTACAGCGGCATTCAGTCTCGCTTTGCTTGGAGATTAGATCGAGAAATGAGGAGGCGATTAATTCTAGGCGAAAGAGGACTTACCCGCTAATGTTTTTTACTTCCTACTTTATCGAAGTCGATTCTTTTTACTTGTTATTGAATTGATTTAGTACGCTTGTTAGCGACGACTGGAAATACGTCTGCGGTCGCAGGCTATTCGCGCCAGTCCCTTGCAACGCGAGTATCAGGAGCGAGTATAAATGAGGAGCTCCGCATCTCATTTCTGCCCAGTTCGCGTAGGAATCCATT